CCTCCACTTCATTCAAGCTGTCATCGCCAGGCACTCACAGAGCCGCCCAGACCCTGACCAGGAATACCAGGGATCGCTGAAGGGCACAGGTCTCCCAGACTCCTCTAGATCCCATACCTCCAGGACAGACTCCACCAGCGCAATTAATTGCTTAAAATCACACACGGTGCTCTCTGAGGGTATCATTTTAAAGCTCTAACAGCAGAGGGAGAAGGCCAGAATCAGGCCCGGCGTTATTACCTTCCTATGGACTAGCCTCAATGTGATCTTGATGGCAGCTCTTCTTAGCCCTAAAAACCAATGATTTTTCCTGGAGTCTGGAGGATTACACTGACCCATGTCCCCTAATGTTTTAAGGCTCATGCTGACCTTCTACCTAATAAATTCATTCAATGTCACCTAACTTGGAAGCTTTAAAAGTCAACAGCCTGTAAGCCTTGCTCACTGAAGTTAGCCTCTCCTTACTTCACAGGGCCTGCCCCACCTGGAGGACAGCCCATGCTCAGTGCACGCCTTGTGGCTGGCTGCATGGCAAGACCTTCTCATCTGGCTGACTGATGGCTAACCTGGTGGCCTCCAGGCCCACTTCCCTCAGCTGCAAGCCACCTTCAGTTCCCTCCAGATGACTCTCCAAACACAAATTCACGATCTTGAAGGATATGAACACAAATCACCCAGAGCCATTCCATAACCATTCAGCGGTGGAGGAACTTCCAAAAGAAAGGTCCTCAGGTGGAACAAAGGTAGGATCCCAGCCAGGTATAAGACACCAAGAAGCAAACATCTTGGTCCTGGTTTGTGATCTCTGCCCAGCAAGCAGACCCTTAGGACCTGAAGACCATCCATTGCAAAGGGAAAGGCTATCCTGCTCTAGAGGCATGAAATACCCCTTGTCCTCTCTTCTCAGGGGCTGTGCTACTTCAGCTAGAGAATGGTGCACCGTGGGCCCCAGTGCCTGCCTCCAGCACAGGTTGAGAGCAGGGAGATCAAGGAGGCAGAAAGTAAAGGGCTAAAACCACTTTAAAACAAATGAAGAATTCCTTTTGGAAGAATCTGCAAATAGCTCTTTCCTTTCCTTCCTTTCTTCCCCATACAAAACACAAAAGTTCATCTATTTACCCTCCTAGACTGAGTGTAAGCAGACCACCAGGGGCGAGACCAAGGACTATCTGACTGCAGTGTCACACGGAGCAAGATCACAGGAGGCTGCAGGGAACAACCAGCAAAGGGAAATGCTGAATGTCAAACCAGCTTAGCGATGAAGAACTAACCTTTGGGGAAGAGAGCCCAGTGCCAGTGATTATGCCTGGCTTAACACGTCCCTCAGCCACAAGGCTGCAAGTTTAAGCCATGGTTCAGCAGGGCTGTAGCAGCCAAACATGTTTAATGAATGCAGCAAAGTGATAAACTAGGTTTGTGCTAATACCTTTGATTCCAGCCTCCTCACTGGAAGGTTGGTATTTTAAGCGTCCTTTTGATCTACTGCAAGTTCCTAATAAGACTCATCCAATAAACACACTGGGTTTAAGTCAGAAATGTTAACAGGAGCCCCAGAACCTTGATATTCTGCTCTGGAGAATGCACCACTACAAATATGTCACGGACCACTTGAGAAAAAGGTGGGCAGGCCAGGTAGATGAGAGAGGTGCCCTTGGGGCCAACCTTAGCCTTAACTGGATAAGGCTGAGGTCTGGCCTCAGCCAACGCCTAGTTATCAGTTCAAACATTTTCCAAAACAGCTTAGGTTTCCCTGGGGAGATGGCTTTGATGGTTCCATTTGTTTATGTGCAGCGAGCCCCAGCTTGTCCAGAGGGCCACATTGTTCCTGTGGGGGTTGGGGGGGAGTGCCCCCTGGGGCTTTGTACACCTTCCCCCAGGACCTGAGCTTGGCTGGGCAGAAACTTCCACTAGGGCCTAACCTGACCCACAGGGGTGGGAGGAGGCAGCTCTGGCACTGAGGAGTTGGGCAGGGCAAGCCAGTTGGCTCCTCTGCCTCCAGCCCCAAGGCCTGGGCTTTCAAAACCGGTCTGGCAGGCTGCCAGGCCTGGGGTGGGGGCAGTGACTGACAGGCTGGTTATTGGAAAGCTCCCATCATTAGCCCAGGAATGTTGTTTGGTTACCATGGCGACCTTCACTACAAGTGGCCTGACTAAAGCATAAGGAATCTTGTTACCTAAAACCAGAGCCCCAGGAGCCCTGGGCTTCAGGAACCAGCTTATCAGCGCCTGTTCCCTTTGACCCCATATTCCTGCCCCTTCCCTCAGGGCCTCCCAGCTGCCTCCCACACCCAGGATCAGGAGAAAAGACTAGCAAAGCCATCTCCGAGCTGGCGTGGGCCCTCTCACATTCCCTGGCCTAGCCAGGCTTGGAACCAGGTCCAAACAGGGTGTCTGCTGCCCCCATGAGGCCCCCTGCGGGCTAACCAGGACCAGTCTGGCCAGCACATGTGTCCAGGGCTTAGTGGGAAGCCCTTAGGATTTCAGGAAGCTGCTCAGAGAGTCTGGTTCCCACTGTGCCAGGTTCACACTGTCCTTGCACCATCAGTCTCTGCCTCATCACGTTCCTGCCTTTTTAAACCCCATTAACGAAAGGTCATCCTGCAGCACGGAAATCAAGATCTTCTTTGCTTTGCTTTCTAATCCCTGAATTCAGGAGGATTTTTAAAAGTTCAACTCCACGAAGGCTGGGTTTTTCTCCAGGAGTCTTGAGACTGCCTGTAGGAGGAGTGGCCACTCATGCAGCTAAAAAGCTTAAAAACTTTCACCGAGTGTCCCTGCCTCCGGTTCTCTGCCCTCCCTCACATAGGGCCCTCTCCACCATCGCCTGGCCCACGTGCACTGCTTCCTCTGGGTCCCACGTTGCAGTCTTAATCTGTCTGTGGGCTGACTCCCAGGCCCCTCTACACGGCTGCCCCTCAACACGGTTGTAAACCGACTGCAAGACCTTCTCTTGCCTGAGTCTCACAGTAGACCTTGGAAGCAGAGGGAGGCAGGGCAGAAGGCACAGAAAGGAGAAGCATGCTGCTGGAAGGGACACAGGCAAGGGACAGGCACGACTCACAAGGGGAGAAGCTTGTGTGGAAAGGGGCCCATTGCACCCAGCTCCACTCTCCCCTGTACCAGGCTTCCCCCAGCCCTGACACTGGCTGCCAGCCTCTTTCTTCACTAAGGCAGGCTTTGCAGCCTCTAAAGGGCTTCAGCCACCTGGGACAGCCTGCGGGGAGGAGCTCAGTGGCAGACAGACCCTGGCCATGGGCCTTTAAGTGCCCCTCACCAAGGACATAGACCTTGCTGCGCCGAGGCCAGTGTGAAGGGGGTTTGATATTTTTGTTTTGCTGCAGTGATATTTACTGGACCGGTCATTTAATTAACTGCCGTGGCAACAGCCAGAGCCACACAGCTTGTTCCCAATGCAGGGAGCAGCTGGAGAAGCAGGATGCAGTTTCCATTGAAGAGCAATGACATTTTTCAGTGATCCCTGACCGGTAATGGACTCAATGACATTTCCTGCTAATCCATGGGTTTCTGTACTCCGGGGTTTCATCTGTGGGGAACAGTATTGACTTATTTGCAAAGAGCCATGGTGATACCCTATGGTCACTTCAGAGCGTGTGGGAGGTGGATATTCCACCCCCACTTTTTTAAGATGGATTTTTTTTTCTGCCTAAGAAACTGAAATGTGTTCTTGCATAGTTTTGGATGTCAGAAGCCCCCTATATTTTTCCAGTTAGTTTTGACATATATTGACAATATGTCAATATATCCTATGTTGATGGATAGGATACTCTGCCACTGCCAAAACACCTTTCTTGAGCCTTAGCAAGGAGGAAACCACCCCCAGGAAAGTTCACAGGACAAGCCCCTGGTGGCATCCTCTCAAGGAGGCCAAAGGTACAGGAAAGCCGAAGCCTCACTTAGAGAGTCAGCCCTATCCCCGAAGGACTAGGGATGGACAGAGGTGGACACTGGGCTCCCCACATAAAGGGAACATCCCTGGGTTGAGACAACTTGATCACCTCACAGCTGTGGCACCCACCAATTTCCCCTAATGCTTTGTGAACCTTTTTTCATTGACAACGTGAGTCACCTCAGGGTTCCAGGACTGCTACTCTTTCTGCTGTCTGCCCCAGAGCTGGCCGGTTCCAAATGGCCCTCCTTCACACCCTAAGGTAGGCCACGGTGGGAGTGGGGTGCTGAGCCCCCATCCTGGGATCACAGGATTCAGAGAAATAAGGTCACCTGCTGACCTCCCCCTCGCTCCCTCCTGCAGAGCAACACTCCCTTCTGCCTCAGTTGGCCCAGCATGGCTCTTGTTCCCAGTGTCCCAGTTGGGCGAGAGCAGGTCCTCTGTGTACAGGTTGGGACAGGAGGGTCTAGTCCTGCCCCACCCACCACCACCTGCGCCAGGTGCAATGTGAACCCTGCTCCAGAGATGGGCCCAGAGATAGGCACCTGGGTGATGTCGTTTATGGTGAGGGTGTGTGGAGGAGCTAAGGATGGAGAGGCCAGGAGCACCCTGGAAGGAGACAACACCCTCCCCCAACTTCCTGTTGACCTGTTTGGAAGCAAGGGGATGGCTCCCTTGGCCTCCACCAGCCCAGCCAGTGTTAGGAGCCACCCTTGGCTAGCTGCATCAGGGTTATGACTAAGTTGCACAAGACAGTGTCCCCAGGAGGCTCAAATGCAGAACCCAGGGCTGGGTTGAAGCAGCCTGAGCATATGTATTCCAGCATAGCCCCTTCCATGGTCCACACAGCCCCAGTGGAGTCTGCAGGTGCCACATAGAACTCCCCACTAAGACCCTTGGGCACAGAAAGCCACAGTGATTCTCTGACCCTACAGGTCCTCTCCCTGCCTTGATTCTCCAGCCAGGGAAAGTACATGTAGTGGGAGCTTAATCAGTGTATGTTGGTTGGCTACATGGCAGGGTGGGGAGTACCTGGACACCTGCATCTGTGACAGGCCAGCCCCCCAGCCCAGCGGTGTCCCCAGGGAACTCACTTGAAGTTCTCAGGGTACTCTGTGATGGCCATGTTGATGACATCCAGCGCAAGTTGGTAGTGCTTCTGGGCAGAGAAGAGGAGAGCCAGTAGGTGGAGGGCATTGGCATCGTCCCTGCACAATTTCAGGGCCTCCTGCAGCTGCTCCATGGCACTGGAGATCTGCCAGAGAAAACCGCCAGCTCAGTGACCTTCCCAGGGCCCACACCTCCCTCCAGGACTTTGATGCCAGGCGCCAGCCTTCCAGGGGACACGAGACTCAATTGAGACCCTGGGCACTGAGGGTCAGGACTGGTGCTCTGATGAGAAAACACATCCCCAAGTAACATGGCAACAGGGATCTACTACCCCAAGTTAGGAAGCCTCTACTGTCCCCCTCGGAAGTAAAGAGGAGCAGGTGTGTGGTGTAACACAAAAGATCCGGTAGACACTGGGAAGTCTTTCCGAAGCTGGAGTAGGGGTCATAAGGAGAGACCACCAGGCCACTAGCTACACACCTAGAGGTAGCCAGGCCCTCTTCTCTGAGCCAGTCCATGCAGTGACAGGGGCCTACTCAGAGGCTCACAGTGGCAAGAGCATGGGGTCCGAAGGGGGCATGGATTGCAGCTCTGCCATGTTCCAGCTGGAGCCTCAGGGCAAGGGACTTCACCTCTCTGAGCTGTAGTTCTTATGCTGCAGAAGGAGAACAGTCATAGCCATCGCGGTGGCTGAGGGGACATGGACAAATGTTCTGCAGAGTACCACACGCGTTTGAAAATGTGTTTCCTTCTTCAAGCTCTCAAAGCCAGGCAACTAAGGACCAAGTAAGATTCCTCCTAGTCCTGAAGGACGTGTGGTCTCATGTTTTCAGGTCTGGCACTTGCATCAATTCCTGTGACCTTATCCATATCCTCCCAGGAGCCTCGTGAGTCTTTTTAGAAAGCCTGGCTTCTTTTCAAACCTCAGACACCTACAGTGCAGGCCAGTGGGGGCCTTAGGTCCCGGTGTGCCCTGCTCCAGCCTGGTCTCTGCCTGGCCTCTGTACAGGCTGTGCTGTGGGCAGTGCTAGGCGGAGTGTTCCCATGAAGACCTTCCTTTGTGGGAAAGTGAAGTGAAGTGAAGTGAAGTGAAGTGAAGTGAAGTGAAGTGAAGTGGGAAGCTAAGGTTAGTGTGGCTGCCAGCTTGGCCTGCCTGTGCCTCCCTGAGGCTGCTCCGACCCTGGGGATTCTCCAGAGTGGACCCCATCATCCTGGGCTGGGCAGCCAAATCCATAGCCTTCACTGCTCGGGGAGCCTTACCTCTCTGGGCAGAATAGGCCAGTGGTCCTTAGACCCAAGCAGGCCAAGGTCCAGCTTAGAGAACATTCAGGGGCCCTTGACCCCCTGATGCTACCAAGATCTGGGGTCCCCAAGAAAACTGGGTGCCAGGCTCTACTGGCCTGGCTCAGCCATCTCTGAGACAATAGACACCATTCATTCATCAGAGGTGGCTGAATAGTTAAAGATATAAAAAAATGCATCACCAAAGGTTTATAACAAATTTGGCAAGAAAACCACTGGTTCTTTCAGAGAGGGCTGAAAATAAAGTGGTCTCAGGTATCTTGCTATCTGTGCTCCTAGCAGTGCCAGAGCAGACTGATGTTCCTGAAGAGAGCGGCAGAGAGGTACCAAGGACCTCATTCAGGACCTGGAAGTCAGGAGCCCTGGGCGCAGCGGGGTGAGGGGCCGGGGCAGTCAGCGGCAGCCTGGAGGTGGAGGAGTGATGGAGTGAGCTGGGAGCAGGGGGGC